GCCGCGGAAATTTTTTGCAACATTAAAGGGAAAGGAGTCGAAACGTTTCACGAAGTGCTTTCAAGGCTGGACCCAGCATAAACATCCTGCGGGTGATTTGGCGTAGAAGAAGCTTACGGTGACGCTTCAGTTCCCGCTTGAAATGATGCTCACGTACGCTTGAGAAACGCGGGCAGCCTCGAAACCAGACTGGCCGCAATGGCGTACTACGGCATGCGCTGCTTCTGCCTTCCATTCGTTCTGCGTAATGCTCGAGCTGCGTTATTCGGTCGCCCTAATGAAATTAGCGCATTTGTGTAGTAAAAGTTTTATGCTGTTTTCATGTGCGAGTTGTGTTGAATATGCCGTAGTTATATTGTTTGTTCGTAAGTCACACTTAATTTGTAAACCAGTGTCATCTTTTTCAAAAAATGTTAAACCAAAACCTGTTAATCTATTGCACAAGTCTTCTCGTGGTGCGGATTTTGATCTCACGTATAGCCACCGAATAAGAAGTAACTTAGGTTTATGAAATGGAGCTCTACTCTACTGGGCAACTTTCTTCAGCACGAACTGCTCATTGCAGCCCGCAATTTATAGTTTGTGCTCAAGAAGGAATACCGTTGTGGGTTACAAAGTCTTCATAAAATAAATATGTTTGTGGTTACAAAGTGTTCATAATAAAATATATGTTTTTTTCAGGCGTCTATCTTTTTAATCTACTGCTATATGAGCTTGTTTGCGTCATGATTTTTCTTAGATGTAGTTTGCGATGCCGTTGCATTAATGAACGAGTTACAATGGCAAACGTTCGATGACGTTTCAAGAAATATCGACCATGATTAGACCAACGAAACATTGGACAGGGTTCCAACACCTAATAGACGGTCATTAGCCAGACTTCTCGATAAATGATAAAATGAGCTGAAGGTGTTCGTTACCTCAAGATGGACAAAAATCGCAGAACAACAGACGTTAACTGTTAAGTCTTACAAGGGCCTTCGTCTAAAAGCTGATGATGATTGGTTGGTTGCAACAGTCTAAGATGCACAACGTGATCCAGCCAGTAGAGAGAGTTTATGCACCGCGCTCCTGAATGTTTTTAACTATATTTAAAGCTTCTTTTCCTATTGCTATATACAAAAAACGAAACCGTCTCAGGTTTCTAAGCCTTCTCAATTTCAGCCGAAGGTGCCTTCCCGACTTCAGACCATTTGTCATCGACTGACGCCCATGTTAGCCTGTTTGGGTCACTTTAATGCTGCATAGTATTTCGAGTGTGATAACCTCCTGACTTTCCATCTGCGATACTGTACATGATAGGTAATAAGTGTCAAGGCATTAATAACCAAACTGCAAGTGCTTATTCATAAACATAAGAAAGCGCCGACAATAAATGAGCGTGTAGCGGATTTCGGCTACTTGTGTCGGAATCGCTCTACAGACAGCGAAATGAAAATTTCATTCGACGGAAAGTGAAACCAGATCATGAACTAGGGGCATTCGATAGAAGTGCTTTCGCTTCCCTAAGCTTCGTACACGCCTTAGCCTTGAAGCTCAACAGCTGGTGGTTGTTCTTGGTCAGTTCCTTGCATTCCGCATCGTATCGTTCTAACTTTTCGAGCAGCATCGTTTTCTCCTGTTGCCAACCTTCCTCATCTTCAAGGCTCTTTTGCAAAAGCCTCTTCGCGGCCTCCAGCAAGTCTTCCAGAAGAAGTTCGGTTTTCTCGCACTTCTCCGACATGCTCATAAGCATTTGCTTCAGTCGAGTGTTCTCAACTACCATTCTGTTGTAGGTGGTTCTCAGTTGTGCGTTGGCCTGTTTTTCCACCTCCAGGTCACCGGCAATCCTTGCCGATGAGGTCTCCATTTCCGCGATGGCGTGACTCGATTTTAAAGCATGACTTTCGATTCGCTGGATACTGTACCGCTGCTCATTTCTCAGTTCTTGCATTTGCTTGCTCCAGTTGTTCACCGCCACCCTGTGTTCGAAAATACCCGCCTTTTTCCTCAATTCTCGATCCAGAATTTCCAGTCTCATCTTCACCTCGTCCAGTCCTAGATGACAAGAGTCGAGCGACCGCAGAAGCTTCCATTTTTCGTTTTCAACCGCGTTGAGGCGAGAGGAAAGTTCATTGAAAATTTTGGTTTGTTTTTCGTTTGAACGAGTTTGCAATTCTGGCGCGTGAACCAGATCTTCAGTGGACCGCCGTTGATTAACAGCAGGCGTCGTAGGTCTTTTATTGGTTTCAGCATTGCCCTGCATGGGCAAAGTTACCCTTGAGATTTTCTCCTCCTCTTCGTAGTCTCTTGAACTTTCATTCCGCGTTCCTCCAGTGAGTTCTAAAGCAAATCGATGTCAGCACAGAAATTATGTATGTGCTTTAATTTCTTATTCACATTCTTACCGATCGTTACTTTGTTATCGTTCATTATCGTTATGTTCGTGTGTTGCTGACTTCTGTCTTCATCTTGTATCTAGCAGTGCGTCTCATTTCCTTGCTCTAACTCCTCCGTAAGCTTAGCTTAGTCTTTTTGTGGCAGATCAACTCTTCACGCTTTGTTCGTGTATGACTGTTGTTTTCTATTTTTTAATTCATATCATTTCTAGCATTTTTAATTTTTTGAAAAGAACAGTCTGCCACAAACGACAGTAGTGTTTGTCTCTTCACTCGTCGTCTTTTCACCGGTTAATTCATTTATGGTGAAATATCTTGACTAGAATACTTGTGATCGTCTGTCATAAAGCGTCGGGTCAATTTCTGGACGGCATGGCGGTTTTTGCAGCTTTGCTGTCCTCAGATTTCAACAGTATCAGAAAATATAAAAATTTTGCCGTTGTCGTCTTTTCTACCCATTCCGGGTAGCTTCTCTAATAGGACCAGTAGAAGGGTTGGGGAAGGTTGTCTTCCTCCACAACATAAGATACCGCTTGAAATATGGCAGATACACTGGATAGCAAATTCGTCATTGAAAACAACGATCGCATGAGTCCTGGCCATGACACCCTAAATACCTTTCAATGGTGGCATGGACTCAGCAGTATCGCAATAGACAAGACGACTGACTGTAATTAGGCGGAGGCAGTCAAACGCGTACATGTCAGAAATTGATGAAGGGCTCGGCCCTTAGCGGATGTACTTACTCGTAGGCGCAGACTACTGTAAGAGTTGCTGTCTTTGAAAGCCATCAGGCGCGCTCCTCAAGGCGACCAGAAGCATCGGTGGATCGAAAAGCAACCCGAAATTGCCCCTCCCCCCCAAGGAAACGACCTGATTCGTGAATGGATCAAACAAGAGACCGAGTGTGTCTACGAAACGACCGGAATCGCTTATTGCAGTATAGGGAATGATGAAGGCGCAGAAAACTCAGCAATCGGATATTACTTTCCACTGCACCTTGTGCTATTAGTGCTTAGTGGCTAGTTGACCAACGAGGATTTGTTCTGGATGGTGAACAAAGGATCCCTCACTTGTAAAAAGGAACCAGTCCGTTTTGTGAAAACAATAGCAGGTAACAAAGGCGAAGAAGATAACCAGATTGAAGACGAAGAAAAATCATTGTTGGCCGCTGTAGGGGACACGGCGGCAAAGACGTGGAGCTTCGAACTCCAGCTGCGGTGGAGGTTGGAATCTGTTGAAGGGTAACCTCTGTTTTAACTGAAATTACCTTGAGCATTGAATTTACTCCTCATTGCTTCGTTGCAATCTTACGGGAAACAGATAATTAGTCAGTGACTTGCTAATAATAAGGAGAACTCCGTTTTCAGGTCTGGTAATGTCACAAGGAACGAGATGTATGGTCATGATGTCAGATGCGAGCGCCCGATGTGGCTCGTTTCACCTGGACCCACCAGATGACAGACTATCCAAGTAATAATCGCGGTATTACATATGTAAGTACGTATGTATGTATCTACGTATGTATGTACGCACATACGCTTGTGTGTATGTAAGTATGTATTTATGTATGTATGTATGTATGTATGTATGTATGTATGTATGTATGTATG